GAGTCTTCAAAACTCTAAATTCTAAATTCTGACTGCGAATGGGTCCACAGTTATATTTGTTGAATAGAAGATGCTCTGAATGGAATTTACTCAATTGAAATAAAAAGAACAAAGGAAAGCCATTATTGCAGATTGATGGCTATTTAAAACCATAATGATTTAATACACAAATGAGGGAGTAGCTTAAAGCTGCCTTACTAATTAATCCTATTTTAATATTAGATCTTTGTAATATTAATGTTATATAGCAATAATTTATGGAATAACATTTTAAAGTACAGGACAAATTACAACACTATTTTAGTAAACAGAAAAAAAATGGTTAAGAATGCAAGATGGTCCACATTTATTTATGGTCAGGTGTTTTTTTATTTTTTGGGGTTTTTTTGTTTTGTTTTGTTTTTGGTCAGGTGTTTAATGATGAATGTTTTACATGGAGATCACGAGGTTTTTAAATGGATGAATTTCATAGGCATTTGTGTGTTTTCTGACTTTGGCTATGTAAAGAAAGGATTAGGGAATTAGCTCCCAGGAGTAGGAAAACAGATATTTAGTTAACCAATAAAGTCCTTATTTTGTCTGGCCCTTTATCCACTCAACCACTTATTATTTGTCTTATTACTACTAAGAAAAGGATGTATCTTTCATCAAGGGACTTCAAAGAGGTCTCTGAAATTTGGAAATTTCTCTAATACAATCTTTGCTGCCTCTTGACAACCAAATCCATGGCACATGGGACTGTAACCGTTCAGGGAACTAAATGTTCACTGACTTGTCAATTGGTTACATTTCCAGATCTTTAGAGGCTTGTCTGCTGCTCTTACAGGCAACACAGATGGTGATATTTACTGGGGCACCTGGGTGGCTCAGTCAGTTTTGCCCACTCTTGATTTCAGCTCTGGTCATGATCTCAGGGTCCTGGGATGAGCCCTGTTTTGGGCTCTGTGATCAGCAGGGAGTCCGCTTGAGGATTCTCTCTGCTTCTCCCTCTGCTCCTCCCCTTACTCATGCATGCACGCTCATGTGCTTTCTCTCTCTAAAATAAATAGGTTTTAAAAAAAATTAAAAAGGAAGTATTGACATTTGATGCTCACATAATAACATGAATTTATTCTTTTAGGATGGCACTTTTCTGGTTAGAGACAGCTCTAAAAAAACAATAACTAATCCGTATGTCCTCATGGTGTTGTACAAGGATAAAGTTTATAACATCCAGATCCGTTATCAAGAGGAAAGCCAAGTTTACTTGTTGGGAACTGGACTCCGGGGGAAAGAGGTAAGAAATTTCAGTTGCAAAATTTCCTCAAATCCTCTGTTTATGCCATTTCACATACCTCTCAATATGGAACCTTACTGTAATATTCTTTGGGGATCCATACTGTATGGCACTGTTAGAGTTAAATTTCATTGGTGAAGTCCTTCCTTTACTGGAAGGAAATAAAACAAAATGACAGTAGCTACCTGTGCCATGGAGTATTTCTTGTATCTTTTATTCCAAATAGTCTAAAATCACATGTATAACTTATAAATTAAAAAAATTAATATTTGAATTTAAAAACTGATAGTGTCAAAGGTAAGTCATTTCATTCATTCACCTCTGTAACATAATTTTAATGTAAGATTGAAGTGTACTTATAAGGCTGTATTGACATTTAGAAAAGGGTAAAGAAACAAAACCAAACCCAGAATTCTTGTTGTGGTGATTATTTAAATACTTGAGTCCTTTTTCACTTAAAAAAGAGGTTTGGCCAATGAAGGTGGCCAACCTGCCAGGGAAATTTTCCTCTGTTTAGCCAAGTTTATGCTAATTACTTTTTGGATGGCAATCAAAAAAGCTGCTTTTGCAAAGGAAACTAACAGCTAAACTTAGGATCCAAACATATTTTTTAAGTTCAAAGTTCCAGGAGGAAGATCAGCTGAATCAAACATTTCCAGAATGAAAACCAGATAACTCTTAATTTCTACTTCACTCCAAATATTTTTAAGTTATGATTATGTAAATGAACAGGAAAAAAAACCTCACATGATTCTGATCAGATGTTTCAATCGCTGGTTCAGTGTGGATAGAGCTGCAAAGCTGCTATAGAGACAGAGATGTCTGCCCTCTAGAACTTCTGTTGGTCTGGTTTGGAGAAACATAAGTAGAAACCATACATTGCAGCTGCCCTTGAAAGAGGCACCAGCAGAGTAGTTTTGGAGGAAGTGCATAATCCTTCCTGGGATACCTATGTGATTTTGATCTATGTCTAGAAGGATGCTTTTTTTTTTTTTTTCCAGTCTGGCCATTAGGGATAAGATGATGAAGGCAATGGTTGCAAAGACTTGGCTGCAGAGACTTTGTGAATGTCAGGTGGCACTGAAGACACAGTAGAGAGATCATGAGGGAACCATTGTGCAATGCTATGGGTATCAGCTCTAGACACTGGGACACTGACTTCCTGATTCCTTATACCTCCTCACACTATTAGTGACTAAGAGTGAAGTAGGGATACAGAAACCAAAATAAAAAACACAAACAGAGTAATCCTAAGGCAAATACACACACATATATATAGTCTTTATCCATAATTTGTTGCTGTTGATGAATTATTTTTTCAAAATTCTACAGCAAGAATCATTAAAATATTTGCAAAGTATTAAATATTTTTTCTTACCATCCTCATAACTTGTAGAGGTAGGATATAATGCAGGTAAAAAAAAACAAAAACAAAAACAAAACAAAACCTGAGGGTTAAATTCATGCTACTCATCCCAATGTTGATTTATCTCCTTATTTTGAATTTTTCAGGACTTTTTGTCTGTGTCAGATATTATAGACTACTTCAGGAAAATGCCACTTCTGCTCATTGATGGGAAAAACCGAGGCTCCAGATACCAGTGCACATTAACACATTCTGCAGGTTATCCCTAGCGAGTTAGGCAAGCAAATGAACCTTGCTCCTGCCTCTGTTGCCAGCATGGGAAGATCAATCAACCTTGGTGAACGGACAAACACTTAGGACTGAATCAAACTCAACATGAACACAAGGTTTTGACCTTTCATATAAAAAAGTGTTTGAAATGAAGAATGTCAAATATATCATAATTTATTTATTGTTCTTCAATGTTTGTAAGCATGAGTAATACTGCTCACACTTGAAGTCTAGTAGTGCACTGTAATGATTCATTTAAAAAATGTGTATTTTGAAATACTCATTTCAAAGTAAAGTAGTTTACATAGCTACAGAAATAATTTGAGGCAAGATTAAAAACACTGAAACTAATAGTTTTTGATATCACATAAAACTGATTTTTTAATAGCTAAACCTTTGTTGCTAGTCAGAGGCAATCATCAGTTTTATATATATGATTTAAAAATTTCTAAAATTCACTTTCTTGGCAGCAATTATTTAAGAGGCTTAAAACTAGTTCATCCTTATTTGTTTCTTTTTTTTGTGGGGGCATATTTGTGTACTTTTTTATGAAAAGATAAATGCATGATGCGATAACTTCCTAGGATTAAAATTAATTTGCCTTTTGCTTTACTTTTGTGTTCTTAAAACTATTGACTTTGTTTAGTCCATCCTATTATATTTTTGTTTTAAAGCAAATTTAAGCTGTAAATACCACAAGTAATCATTTTAAATTTAGAGATGAGGCTTTGGTGTCAAATACAGCTGGATGTGAGTTCATCACATCCCAACACCCACATTCCACCTCCCCTGCAACTCCCACAACTCCAAAAGCATTTCCAAGTGATGTCGATTTTATCCAAGTCTTCCAGCAAAGATGAAAGAGCAATGCATATACATAGAAAAATGTGATCAGACTTTCCTATTAGATGCCTTTCTTCTATCTCTTTTATCCCCTGACAACTCTACCATAAAGCCCTTCTCATTGTCATTCCTAAAAAGGCTTTATAAATCCTTTGAAGCAATACAGCTCTTTCCTTCAGTTTACTCATCCTACTTAGCAGACAGTAGTAGGTGTTCAGCACAACAAAACCAGGCATTTGGTTGTTCTTCAAGTTTTCCCCTTTGGGGCTTTGTTATTATTCCACAAATTTTATTAACAACAAAAATTTTTGGCTTCTCTAGTTAATCTGCAAGTTTTCTGAGTGGCCAAAAATATCTTGCATCTTCATTTTCATAAGTTTATTAATAGAACATCAGAAGGGAGCTTAGAAGTTACCTGGTTAAAACTGATAACTTGCTAAGATAACAGGTATGTGGAGACTTTTAACCAATGATGATAATAATGTTTCATCAAGCTTCATCTTTACAAACTGGTAGTTCTCTAGGGTCCAGAGCTAGAGAGTTCTAAAGTTGAAAAATCTGCATTCATTTACATGCTTATGCAACAGGATGTCAACAACCATTTATTTAGTGCCTAATCTGTGTTAAACACTGACTTGAGTGGTGAGGACAGCAGACACTGAGCTGACCTTGTGTCTTGGTTTAGGTTACATTATCCTAATTTAAAATTTTAAAATTTCTAAAATGAAGGAGGTAACAGATTTCAAAGCAGCTATTTGGCAGTGAATCATGTCCGATACCATGTCTCTACCCTCCTCAACTTGCCATAGGCAGGAAACCAGTCTATAACAGAAGATAAAATCAATGCACAGAAATAGAACCAGGTTAGAGACATAGGATAAATTAGTAGAGTCCCTGACATCTATTTCAACCATGGACTTCCAAGTCACATGACCCAATAAATGCTTCAGCTAGCTTGAGTTTTTTGGTACTTGTGACAAGGAGAGATCTGATTCAAACTCATGCCATCCATTTATAATTTGGTTAACTCTTTCAATCTAAGCCAAATTCAAGCATAAAGGATAAGCAATGCCCCCATGGTCAATTTCCTATGTCATATTCTTGCCACTAGTGAAATGAATTAGCCATTCTTTGAAACAATAAAACAAGTTTCAATAATATTAAATGATTATTTACAACTCATCCTATTTTTATTTTGTTTATCATATTAAATATATTAGTAAACTCAATTCTCTCAGATACATGTTAATTCCACAATAAATACAGTTATAAATTCACAACAAACAAAAAGAAATCAGATAGAAAAACTATTAGAGGCAAGGGACACATCTGATATTGCAGACTCTTCAAAGAGGGGGGTTTTTCCTTCTGGTTCCTTTAAGTCATCTGTCTTCACAGGATGATTAAAATGTAGAGTAAGGTCACAAAGCAGCAACTGGGAGAGCTCTGTGTAAAACAAAATAATAGAAGATACTATCTTGGAGAACATATGTCATAGACAACTATTATTACTTTTTTTTAAAAGACTACTTTTGGGGGTGCCGGGGTGTCACCCAGTCTTTAAAAAAAAGTCAGTTGAGTGTCTACTGATTTCAGCTCAGGTCAAGATCTCAGGGTCCTGGGATTGAGCACTGTGCAGGCTTCTGCATTCGGCTCAGAGTCTTCTTGAGATTCTCTTTCTCCCATTCCCTCTCCGGTCGCTTGCACTCGATCTCTAAAATAAATAAAATCTTTGGAAAAAAAAAAAGACTTTTTTTTTTTTTAAGTAATCCCTACACCAATGTGGGAGTTCAAGAGTTGTATGCTCTACCAACTGAGCCAGCCAGGTGCCCCATTATTACTTTTAGTAGCTATTTCTAATTCTTAGTTTTCTCCTAAGTGATTATTGATCAGACCACAGTTATGTATGGCTCTAACATTATAGAACTCCCCTCCTTCAGCTCTTTAAATTTTTCTCAGATTAGTTCTTTAATGAACTCCACACCCCATGCGTTGTCTGTGTTCCTTCTTTCTAACACTCCTATTTACTGAATGTTGAAATTCCTTTTTTTTTTAAGATTTTATTTATTTGCTCATGAGAGACACAGAAAGAGAGGCAGAGGCACAGGCAGAGGGAGAAGCAGGCTCCTCACAGGGAGCCTGATGTGGGAGTTGATCCCAGATCCTGGAATTATGTCCTGAGCCAAAGGTAGAAGCTCAACCATGCTGAGCCACCCAGGTGTCCCAATGTTGAACTTCCTTGATTGATCTTGTAATTTTTTTCTCCCTAAAACTATCCACCTCTATTTTTTTGCACTCTAGAGAATTGTCTTCATTTTATCTTTAAACCCCTTTGCAGAGTTTATTTTTATTGTCCTACTTTTAATTTTCAAGAATTCCCTTCTCCAAACTTTTCAGAGGACCATATTCCTGTTTCATGGACATAGAATCATCTCTTACTTCTCTTCAGCTATTGATAGTTTCTTGGGAGTTTTCATCTCACTTCATTATTTGTTTCTCTCTCATTGATGGAATCCATGTATTGACTTTGTCTCTGCTTTTCATATCAGATGCTTTCATCAAATATCTATTGCACCAGAGCTATCTACTCATATTTAAGACCAGGGCACTAAAGACAACTGGAAACTCTGTTCCTATGGGATAGCCTGTATTGGGGGTGGGCATTTTGTTGGGGGTAACCTCTGCTCTCAGTGTCTTTAGATTTTTTTCTCTTAGGCTCATAAGATTCCTGAAATAAAAATCTGCTTGAGGGTATAGGTCTGGCTGCCAATGTTTTATAGCCAAGTGGGAAAAGAAAGCTGGGAGTCTTGTAAATCAGTTTGTAAAACTTTGTCTTAATATCTTTGTTTTCAGTACAGTACTCTTTGCCTCAATTTATGACTAATGGCTCCAGACCAGAGATCCTCTCACGGAATCAAACTCAAGTGTACTGTCACAGAAAAGGAACCGTTGTCTAGTTCAGAGAGAAGAGAACTTAGGGGGTCTATTTTTTTTTTAGAGAGAGAGAGAGAGAGAGAGAGGTGAGGGAGACACAGAGCAGAGGGAGAGAGAGGGAATCTCAAGAAGACTCCATACCCAGCATGGAATCCAGTGCAGGGCTTGATCTCATGACCCCAAGATCTTGACCTGAGCAGAAAGAGTCGGATGCCTAATCGAGTCACCCAGGCACCCCTTTTTAAAGTTTAATTAATTAATTAATTTTTTTAGGAGTCTACAATTTCTTAAACATTTAACCAGCCTTCCTGTTCTTAGCTCCACCGTTACCCCCATTTCCAGAGGATTCTGGTGCTACCATGTATTGATTCTTCATTGGCTCTAATTAGTGAGCTCATAGCTCAAATTTTTGGACTTTAGGGTTCAGACTTTTCTGTTTGCTTCTATTTGCCTTCTGTTTCGTTAACTTTTTTTCTGAGAGCTTTTCATCTTGTGCATTTTTGTCTCTTTAAAATCACTTTAAATTTAAATCTCAGGTTTACTAGTGACTAGTTTTGTGACTTTTGAGAAGTTAGTTAACCTCTCTATATCTGTTTCTGTAATCTGTAAATGCCAATGGTAGTATTTTCTACCTAACAAGGTTGTGATGAGAATTGAGTCCATTTATACAGAGCTCTTGGAACAGTATCTGGATTACGGTAAATGCTATGTGTCAGCTATTGACATTATTATTGAGAGAAGGAAGTGTGGCTAAAAGGAGTGTTGATCATTTTATCAGAAGTCTGCCCTCTTACTCTAGCTCTACGAATCCCTATAACCTAACTGCCTGACTTACCCCACAGCTTCTCAGGAACACATCCATCACATCTAGTTCTGTTTTACTTCATGAAAGAATAATCCCCAAGCTAGAACAGTTAGATAATCAGTTTGAGAAAAATCTAAAGCTTCTCTGTTTTAAATGAGCACAAGTATCCAGACACCAATTATTCATTTAGTAAATATTTCCAAGAACCTCTTATATCAAGGCACTATGTTTAAGTGCTAGGAAAAACCTTAAGGAGCTTACAGTTGAGCAGGGATAGGAAAAGTAAGTAAACATGCAATTACAACACAATGTGATAGATGATATGAAACAGTAGAAGAGATAACATGTTTGCTTAACAATTTTGCCAGTGTAAGTAACCTTGACTAATAAGCAGCAGTTAACTTGGCTAGGTGGAGGTGGAGTTTGCACAGTGGGCATTTCTGAAGATGTATGTGTTAAGGTACAGACACGAATAGAGAGCAGATATGTAGATTTGCAAATGGTTCGGTATGGCTGAAGCACACAATGTGCAAGAATAAAACAATGATAAGATGATACTGGAGAGGTAGGCAGAGGCTTGATCTCAAGAGGTCTTATAGTCCACTCTAGGAAGTTTGTTGGACTTTATTCTGGGTCAATAGTGAGTTAGTAAGAGTTTTCAGGAGTTCACATTTTAGAATCGAAATTCTTGCTATATTGTTGAGATTGGTTTTGAGAGCTGATGAATTAAGCAAAGATAACCAGATTTTTTTTACATCAGATTCCTCAGAGCCTTTGTTAATATGTTCTGTGAATTTTTGAGAGAAATATACAGCATAAAGCACTTCCCAAATTTATTTGACCATAATAACATGGACTATATTCTTATTGCACACCACTTATTAACATCTCTTGAGACAGCCAGGTTCACTGATCGAAATCTGGGAAATGTTGCCCTAGGAAGAACACGTAGAAAAAACATAACAGGCACTCACTATTTGGTGCCTAACTAACAATCTATCCCCTCTTCTTGGTGGCACAACTTGATTCCATTTCCTTTCCCCATCTCCAGCAATAAGTCCTGACTGGTGCAAACTAGTCTTGGCAGTCCCATTCCCCTTGACAGTGGCTGGTGTAGGCATATGCATTTGATGCAAATCTGGCCATGAAAGGAAAGGGAAAATGTGCTAGAAGGACCTGGGGAAATGTTTCTATAGAAACATAGGCAGATACAGCATCTGTAGATGGCCACACCTGCTGGTCATGACTACAAGTGATAAGAGTGATAAATAGAGTGAATATAATAGAGCAGAAAAATGGAAGGAACCTGGTATAGTCAGAAGCCTTTAAAACTCTGAATTATTTCTGGGGCTGCCCTACCTTGGATCTCTTATTTCCTTATTGTATAAGCCACATTAAGGTGGTATTTTGTTACTTGTAGCTGAATTCCTTGTAAGTGACAGAGAGGCTATCTTCAAATATCCAAGGGCTGTCATAAGAAGAGTACTTACATATTCAGGGTAGTTGCATAGGAAGCTAGACCAGTGTGTGAAAGGAAGATGGGAACAGATTTCAGCTAGTTCATAAGGAGGAACCATCTAAAAAGGAAGAAGCTAACGGGTGAGATTTGGAGTTCTCCAACAGAGGAAATATTTGATCAGGGTTAGATTATCCCTAGAAATATTCAATCACGGAAATTTTGCGTGTCTGGGATAAAATAACAGAATGTCTGAGATGAATGATTAAACATCATGAACTGTAAGGTCTAATCCTACTCTAGGAGTCTGTTTAAAATGAAGAACCCGAGGGAGGGAGGGGCAAGATGGCGGAAGAGCAGGGTCCCCAAATCACCTGTCCCCACCAAGTTACCTAGATAACCTTCAAACCATCCTGAAAATCTACGAATTCAGCCTGAGATGTAAAGAGAGACCAGCTGGAATGCTACAGTGAGAAGAGTTCGCGCTTCTATCAAGGTAGGAAGACGGGGAAAAAGAAATAAAGGAACAAAAGGCCTCCGAGGGGGAGGGGCCCCGCGAGGAGCCGGGCTGAGGCCGGGGCGAGTGTCCCCAGGACAGGAGAGCCCGTCCCGTCCCGGAGGAGCAGGAGCTGCACCAACCTTCCCGGGCGGGCGGAAAGGGGCTCGCAGGGAGTTGGAGCAGGACCCAGGAGGGCGGGGATGCCCTCGGGCTCCCTGGGACACTAACAGACACCTGCGAGCGCAGGAGAGTGCTCCGAGCTCCCTAAGGGCTGCAGCGCGCACGGAGGGACCGACCGGAGCAGCTCGGAGGGGCTCGGGAGCGGCTCCAGGGAGGGGGCTGCAGGGCGGGAGCGCGAATCCCACAGGGCGCCGGGACACAGCCCAGGATCCGGCCTCCCCCTGGGACAGGCAGAGGCCGGGAGGGCCCAGGACAGCAAGGACGCTCCTGCCCCGAGCTGAGCAGATCAGCGGCCCCGCCCCGGAGCCTCCAGGCCCTGCGGACAGAGAGCCGAGAGCCCCGAGCCCCGTAGTTCCTGCGGAGGCTGAATCCAGGCTTCCAGAGTTGCCATAGCAACTGCTGCTGTTCCTCCTGGGTCCCACGGGGTAAACAACACCCGCTGAGCCCTGCAGCAGGCAGGGGCAGAGCAGCTCCCCCAAGTGCTGACACCTGAAAATCAGCACAGCAGGCCCCTCCCCCAGAAGACCAGCTAGACGGACCAGTGATACTCCCCCGTGTTCCAATACAACTTGTTTTTGGCCACTCTGCACTGAGCAAAATGACTAGAAGGAAAACCTCACTTCAAAAGAAAGAATCAGAAACAGCCCTCTTTCCCACAGAGTTACAAAATCTGGATTACACTTCAATGTCAGAAAGCCAATTCAGAGGCACCATTATACAGCTACTGGTGGCTCTAGAAAAAAGCATTAAGGCCTCACGAGACTTCATGACTGCAGAATTTAGATCCAATCAGGCAGAAATTAAAAATCAATTGAATGAGATGCAATCCAAACTAGAAGTCCTAACGACGAGGGTTAACGTGGTGGAAGAACGAGTGAGTGACATAGAAGACAAGTTGATGGCAAAGAGGGAAACTGAGGAAAAAAGAGACAGACAATTAAGGGACCATGAAGACAGATTAAGGCAAATAAATGACAGTCTGAGGAAGAAAAACCTACGTTTAATTGGAGTTCCCGAGGGCGCCGAAAGGGACAGAGGGCCAGAATATGTATTTGAACAAATCCTAGCTGAAAACTTTCCCAATCTGGGAAGGGAAACAGGCATTCAGATCCAGGAAATAGAGAGATCCCCCCCTAAAATCAATAAAAACCGTTCAACACCTCGACATCTAATAGTGAAGCTTGCAAATTCCAAAGATAAAGAGAAGATCCTTAAAGCAGCAAGAGACAAGAAGTCCCTGACTTTCATGGGGAGGAATATTAGGGTAACAGCAGACCTCTCCACAGAGACCTGGCAGGCCAGAAAGGGCTGGCAGGATATATTCAGGGTCCTAAATGAGAAGAACATGCAACCAAGAATACTTTATCCAGCAAGGCTCTCATTCAAAATGGAAGGAGAGATAAAGAGCTTCCAAGACAGGCAGGAACTGAAAGAATATGTGACCTCCAAACCAGCTCTGCAAGAAATTTTAAGGGGGACTCTTAAAACTCCCCTTTAAGAAGAAGTTCAAGTAACTCTGAACGTGAATGGGCTTAATGACCCCATCAAAAGGCGCAGAGTTTCAGACTGGATAAAAAAACAGGACCCATCTATTTGCTGTCTACAAGAGACTCATTTTAGACAGAAGGACACCTACAACCTGAAAATAAAAGGTTGGAGAACCATTTACCATTCAAATGGTTCTCAAAATATACCCTAAAAACTACAGAACACTTCTGAAAGAAATTGAGGAAGACACAAAGAGATGGAAAAATATTCCATGCTCATGGATTGGCAGAATTAATATTGTGAAAATGTCAATGTTACCCAGGGCAATTTACACGTTTAATGCAATCCCTATCAAAATACCATGGACTTTCTTCAGAGACTTAGAACAAATTATTTTAAGATTTGTGTGGAATCAGAAAAGACCCCAAACAGCCAGGGGAATTTTAAAAAAAGAAAACCATATCTGGGGGCATCACAATGCCAGATTTCAGGTTGTACTACAAAGCTGTGTTCATCAAGACAGTGTGGTACTGGCACAAAAACAGACATATAGATCAATGGAACAGAACAGAGAACCCAGAAGTGGACCCTGAACTTTATGCTCAACTAATATACAATAAAGGAGGAAAGATGATCCACTAGAAGAAAGACAGTCTCTCCAATAAATGGTGCTGGGAAAATTGGACATCCACATGCAGAAGAATGAAACTGGACCACTCTCATGCACCATACACAAAGATAAACTCAAAATGGATGAAAGATCTAAATGTGAGACAAGATTCCATCAAAATTCCAGAGAAGAACTCAGGCAACACCCTTTTTGAACTTGGCCACAGTAACCGGAGAAGGACAAACAGTGTATGTTCTCATTCATTTGGGGAATATGAATAATAGCGAAAGGGAATATAAGGGAAGGGAGAAGAAATGTGTGAGAAATATCAGAAAGGGAGACAGAACATAAAGACTTCTAACTCTGGGAAATGAACTAGGGGTGGTGGAGGGGGAGGAGGGTGGGGGGTGGGGGTGAATGGGTGACGGGCACTGAGGGGTACACTTGACGGGATGAGCACTGGGTGTTATTCTGTATGTTGGTAAATTGAACACCAATAAAAATTAATTAAAAAAAAATAAATAAATAAAATGAAGAACCCTTGGGATCCCTGGGTGGCGCAGCGGTTTGGCGCCTGCCTTTGGCCCAGGGCGCGATCCTGGAGACCCGGGATCGAATCCCACGTCGGGCTCCCGGTGCGTGGAGCCTGCTTCTCCCTCTGCCTGTGTCTCTGCCTCTCTCGCTCTCTCTGTATGACTATCGTAAATAAATAAAAAAATTAAAAAAAAATAAAATAAAATGAAGAACCCTTAACTCACAGAATCAAACAAATATAATTTTAATTTGGAAGGAAACTTAGGGGCTTAGTAAAAACGGATAGAGATACTGAATTTTGCAGAATGTGACATCATTGTGCAATAGTTTATTGAAGGGAAGGAAGGAAAGTAAATTTAAAGAGGTTAGACAACATCATAAGCTCGTTAGTGTCAGGGATGGGAATTCAAGTCTGCCAACTTCCAGGAAAATTCTCAAACATAATCCATCCTTAAAGATCTAGTTCATATTACACGGTCAACATTTCTTAAGAAGTAAAGAAATCCTAATTAGTAGGCAAAATTCAGTTATATCCCAGAAGAAACACAATTTTGCTCTATTGTTTGTTTTATTTTTTTTTAAATTTTATTTTTATTTTATGATAGTCACAGTGAGAGAGAGGCAGAGACACAGGCAGAGGGAGAAGCAGGCTCCATGCACCGGGAGCCCGACATGGGATTCGATCCCGGGTCTCCAGGATCGCGCCCTGGGCCAAAGGCAGGCGCCAAACCGCTGCGCCACCCAGGGATCCCTCTATTGTTTGTTTTAAAAATGAGGCATGCAAACATTTTAATTCAGGGATTCCATACTTACCTTTCATCTTCTTTAACTCCAAAGAAATTGTGTTAATGTTTTTAATTATGGTTTCCACATTAGGCTTATGGTCAGTAACATTATTCTTAAACATCTGATTTTAAAAGAGAAATAAAATGTATAAATCAGAAGCATTTATGTGCACTTTTAAAATACTTAAATTTTCAGTATTTCTAAAAGTAAAGTCTATTATTTCAGAATTGAAATAATTGTGAAATAAGTCAATATAATGGTTAGAATTCTAACATAATAAGGCATCAATTTGCTCATATTTTCAAACAGAAGACACCTCCAACTAGAACTCATACGTTTCTTCTTTAATGAAATCAGACAAAATGGGGCCCTTATAATGGAAATGCAGATATCCCCTTTTCAGAAAGCCTTAGCCCTTATAAACTACCTTATAATTAGTTATAAAACTTTCTCCAATTTTATGTAAGACACTGTATTCTAACTTATTCTGAATGAGAGGATCCACAATAAAACTCTAAGTACATAGTAAAACTCAAAGTAAGATTCAATTATAATTCATAAACTAAGAAAACTAACTTTTATTTTAGCTTTGGGAATTAAAGCAATACACTTTTTAAAAATTCTGGTTAATTAAAATGTGTAAATCAACAGGTTACCATGTTATATGTACAGTACATATTTTTTAACCAGTTGTCTCAGGTAGAAATTCATAAACGGGTGGTTCACTAGAAACTAATCTTAGCGGTTCCAAACTCTCAAAATGACTTGAAAAAATAGATAAACAATTAGCACACACAGTTCCAGCAATTGAAAGGCGGACAGTTATGGGTCAGGCTGCTTGTCCAAAATAATGAAAATAAACTAACCGTTTAGTCAACTTCTTGCCTCTGCTTTCTCCTGAGTGGAGGAATTTATCCTATTTCACTCACTTTAGAGCCACTACAAAGGAATAAAAATTTTGTTTTCCAATGAATAAAATATATTTTGCATCCACTTACAATAGCCTAGAAGCCAAAAAGGGAATGGTAGCTATCTTACTTGGTTTGGAATAGCAAATCAGTGTTTGAGGTGGGAGAGAAAATATGATAAAAGAGGGTGGAGAAGGTGGAAGTAAAGAACTTTAAAAATGTGGAATGGTTGTAAAACAATAATTAAAAATCCAAGAGGGAAGAAGAAACTAAGTGGTCAGAGAAATGCTCAAGAAAGTTGACCGTCCCACCCCGGGTCTGCTTGGGCAGCGCCCTGGAGTGCCCTTGGGACAGGTGGGGTCCGACGGCAGAGCTAGGCTGGGGCTCGACCCCACGGGGCTGGAGAGAAGTCAGAGACGAGAAGTCCAGATCTTCCCTGGAGATCTCGGTGAGGCCGTCGCTCAGGGAAAGGAGGGGCAGCGTCCAATGGCATTTCCCAGAGGGGACAAGGGCCAGCAGGCCTGGGGCCTGAGCCAACAGCGGAGCCGGAGCCCACGGCACTGTGGACAGAAGGTGCTAATGCAACCAGCCCTGACCTCCAGCCAGGAGGGCAGGGGCCCAGTTCCCTCATCCTGGGCAGCGAGGCTCATCCCTGCAGCTTTGGGGCCTTTGCAGCCTTTTTCCGAAGGCCAACCCCTCCTCCGCATCCGCGCCTACACCAGTCTGGGCCCTAGGTGCCGCCGGCCCGCCCTACGGCCGCTTGGGGACTGAAGGCAGCCTCCAAGTTTCCACGGCCCTCCTGCTCCCAAACCCGACTGAGACCAAGCAGAGCGCGCTCCGTGGTCCCGGTGACCCCCGGCCCTTGGGACGGACCCCGGGCCCTTGGGGCGCCCTCCGATGCCTGCCTGCGCGGAGCCCGCCCACTGGGAGGCTGACCCTACAACCTGAGGCAGCTGGGAAATCTCAACAGCCTTCGCCTTCCCCTAAAACCTGAGGAGGATTATTTAAAACCCAGTACCCTTGGCCGGCCCACGAACTAACTAACCCGGCGAGGACCCACCGGGCCAACAGTCACCAGGGCTCTGACCGCAGGTGGGGCGGAGCCGACTCTGAAAAGCAGGACTCTGCGACCGGATTGGCCAGCTTCTCTGCCTGCTGCATCCTGGGAGTTGTAGTCCAGGCAAGACCCCTGCGGGAAAGATGCTGGAGGCGAAGCTAGGAGGGCCTAGCGCTGACCTGTGGGCGGAGAATGACGGTGGGGAAGGCGCGCTGACATTTTTGCTTCCTGTGTGCCAGGCTCTGTGCTACGTGCTTCCCAGGCCTTGTCTGCTTTTAATTTTCACAGCATAGGAGTGTGATTAAGGCCAGATTCTGGGCTGAAACTGCTCAGGTGTGAATCCTACTCTAGTATTTGTTTAGCTAGAGAGGGGCCAGTAAGCAGTGTAATCATTTAGGGTTCAAGTGTCCTCCTCTTCTATCGTGTGAGTATAATAATAACTGCCTTCTAGCGTTCTTTTTTAGGTTTAAGTGAGATAATGCATCAAAGGGGCTTGGCAGATGATGTGCCCAATAAATGTTAGCTATTACCATTCCTGTAAATCTTTACAGATGAGTGAAGAGTGTGCACGAATGGAGAGGTGTACACTGGTCTCTTGCCAGTGGAGAAGCTGGGATTCAAGCCATCTTTGCTAGATTCCAAGAGGAATCTCTGGCACTGGAACCTCCGGGGCTGACTCAAGGAATTTCCCTCTCAAAGGCTTTAAGCTTGTGAAGTAAGCCTTTGCCTTCTCTAAGCCTCCCATATAATATCCAGCAGCCTCTCAAACCATTCTTCTCCTGACAACCCACATTCTGTTGTTTATTTTATATCCAGTCACTTTCAGTTTGATACTGTGGAATATGTTGTCTGATGTGGAGTTAGATGAGAAGGTACATAGGAGAAGCAACTTTAATCCTAAAATGAACTACCTGTGTAATCTTGGAAACCAGTGGCTGACTTTCTCCCCACCTTAGTTTCTTTTTTTTTTTTTTTTTTAATTTTTATTTATTTATGATAGTCACACACAGAGAGAGAGAGAGGCAGAGACACAGGCAGAGGGAGAAACAGGCTCCATGCACCGGGAGCCCGATGTGGGATTCGATCCTGGGTCTCCAGGATCGCGCCGTGGGCCAAAGGCAGGCGCCAAACCGCTGCGCCACCCAGGGATCCCCCCACCTTAGTTTCTATATGAGAGGGATGGGCTAGACCAATATTTCCTAAATTTCACTCACTGTAAGGCCACTGTTATGATTTTTACCCCTAATCCTGTACCACCTATTTTATTACTTGAGTATTTTAAAATTACTTCCCTTTACAATTTAAATTTGCTTAAAATTTTTATATCACTAATATAAACAAAAAGTAATAAGAAAAATAAAGACAATGGAAATAAGATTTGTAATCATCTAGACATTCGTGTCTCCCGGGGGCTGTGTACCTGCACCCGGATCTCCTTTGTTAAAATGGGTTATTTAAGTGTTAAGGAAGTGTAGAAGATGGTGTAGCACAAACTGCACTTTTCTTTTGATGTAGTCAGAAGAATTGAAAGAGTTGGAAAGGGAATAACTCTCATTCATGATCCATGCTATTTAATGCCTCGGTACCATATGAAACCATCTCTCATATCCCTAATGGGATATGTCCCATACTTTGCTCAACCTAGATTTCGGTGCTGTTCAGTATACAATCCCCTTCTAAAACTCCTTAATTCTCAACGTGCTATGAGTCCCTTTCAAAACACACTTCAGTCCTGGAAGGCGTCTTTCTGAATTAGCCCTACCCAAACCTGCAGTTTCATCCCAGTCTCTCTGCCAAGATTTCTCTTACTCATTTTGACTGTTAGACACTTGCTGGTATCAGAGTCTTGCATTTTCTTATTTCTGGTATATGTGCTGGGCATTTGTCATTTAATTCTTCGAGTAAAAAGAAACACAGGTCAGGTAACAAACATTCTTTTAGCATTCACTGTATATTAAGAATTATGTTAGAAGCTTTCATCTTCTGACAACTCTCTGAGGTAGCTGTTATCACCCCAGTTGTGTGGAAAACAAAGCTTGAGCTCAGAGTTTAGTGACTGCTCAGGGGCACAAGAACCAGATTCCCACCCTGTCTGTGCAACTCCAAGGCCTTCTGTTCTTTTCTCTGCACCAAGCTGTCTCCTAGACCAGGACACCATTTCTTGAAACAGTAAACAAGTACCATCACAGTTTTATAATGTTTGGGCTTCACAGCTCATTGAACTTAAACACACGTGTACTAATGCACACACAAGCATACAAGTGACCAACATAGGGTGAACACCATTTACTTTCTAAATTAAGAACATTAGCAAAGCAAAAATAATTGCCATCACTGTTTTTGTAAAAGCAGGGATCAATTAACATCAAAAAAGAAAGGAAGAAAGAAAAAAGAAGGAAGGTTAAAGTAATTTCAGAATAAGATCAGCTTAATAAAAATCTTACTGGATATGTCTTTTTTTCTCCTCCTTCTTTTGATTCAGACTAGTGAAAGCTGTACCCCAGACCTGCATCCAGATGTGCATTTGGAAACTCCACATGGGGACGCCTGGGTGGCTCAGCAGTTGGGTGCCTGTCTTCAGCTCATGTACTGATCCCAGGATTAGGGATCGAGTCCCACATCAGGCTCTCTGCAAGGAGCCTACTTCTCCCTCTGCCTATGTCTCTGCCTCTCTTTCTTTTTCAGTCTGTGTCTCTCATGAATAAATAAATATTTTTTTTAAAAAAGGAAACTCCACATAGATTATAGCAAGAGGAAATGAGGTGCTTGAGAGAAGTCAGTTGCGGACTCTTGGGTGGCTCAGTTGGTTGGGCATCTGCCTTTGGCTTGGATCATGATCCCAGGGTCCTGGGATCAAGTCCCACATCAGGCCCCCTGCTAGGTGGGGAGCCTGCTTCTCTCTCTGCTTTGCCGCTCCCCCTGCTTATGCATATTCTCTCTCTCTCTCTTTCTTCCAAATAAAATCTGTAAAAAATGGTTTAGAAGTAAGGTGAAAAGCATATGTGGGTTGAGATAGCATTAAGACTGAGAATACTGAAAAGCCAGTGATGATGAGGGCTGGGGCTTGGTAGAATGTGGTGTCTGTGGGGCCCCATCATTCCAGACTGACTGACCCCGTTCACAGGATTCAAGAGGTGTTTGCAGGACCTACTCAGATATCTGTGGATTAGGATTCTGCTTACAGGACTTCTTATAGAATCCAAAGAACTTCTAATTATCCCAAAAGCTGATTCTTATGAGTAGATTCCAGTGCTGTAATTTGGAAAAGATCTTTGTTAAGCCTTTAAAAAAATAGAAGAAGAATCGACTTTGTATTTCTTTAAAACAAGTGGTGTAAGAAGAAAAAAGCGATGTGAACTTGGAAAAAGATAGATTGCAATAATGTATTTTCCTTCAAAAAATGTCTTCGAGTAATGATGACTACGTATTGTAGTATTTTTCCTTCCTAAGCAACTATAGATTCTTTTTTCTTTTCCCGAGAAAATAAAACTTTAAAAGCATGATCTGCTACTTAAAGCTTGAGACTCTTATAGATGAGGCCCTAAAAAATCTATCTTCCTTAATAAGTTTGCAACGCTTTACTGGACTCCACACAGGTTGCAGTTGTTGATTCTAATGTTAATCAAATAAAGAAGATTAAAAAGCTGGCAAAATCTCCCATAAAGAGAAAAGTTGTTACAGAACAACAAGGTGATTAAGCGTTTTATGGAGTCGGGTGTGAGTGCCTCAGTTAGTTTTATTACGAATTCTTGACATAAAGTCTTTGTTTCCAGGAAAACAAATTGAGTAAATTATCTCACTTCTTGCACTTGCTCTCAGAGTTTTCATTTCCATTGTTTCCCTGCTCATCATCAATTAGAAGTGCTGGTCTCTACACCTGGGGATTGGCTTCCCTTTGGAGCGCCAACTCCCGTCTGAATATGGCTTTCTTTGTACAACCTTCTTGCATATAAACTTCAGAGGTGACGAGTGCAT